TGTAGGTATTTAGAGGAGCTAGATATTTAGGCTAAATGAGAACAAGAATTGGGCCCTATAATGATACTAATTAGTTTGGTATCAGTTGTTTGAGTGCTCTTTTTTAGCTCCTCCACCCCTTACCCCTTTTTCGGAGGGGGGGGGGATGTCTAGTAGCCTTCAACTGTCGGTGTTTGCAGGACATAATTGTCCAATGTTGAGAAATGCTCACCACAAGAGAAAAGATCATGCTAGAAGGTTATATCAAGAATTGAAGCCGGAAGGGTTAATGTCAAAGAATTTGCACCACTTTCCTGAAGTTATTTTCTCTTCCACTTCCATTCATGCTTCTGAATGACCTGTCATTCGCAAAATTTAACATTTGTCATTTGAAATGTCTAGTAGCCTTCAACTGTCAGTGTTTGTAGGACTTAATTGGTTGGAGCATGTCAAAATGCATTGTGTCCGATTCTTGCAATAGGGTCCAAATAACCTTGGTATTGAAATTTTGCATTAGTCTTCTCAATTTTGGAGCAGCATTAGACCATCATAGGTTTTGTTCTCTAAAAACATAAAATTTTCTCCTTTTTTTTAAAATTAGTTTTTATGTATGTGGAAAATCTGTTATTCAGTTTGTCTCTACTTACACTTTGCCTTTCATTTTCTCTCCACTTTGTCTCTTCATTAACATCTGGTATTGACCTCTTTATTAGAGTGGGAGGCGAAAGAGGAAGGGAAAGAAGTTACCCAGCAATGGGAAGATGATTGGGATGATGATGATGTCAATGATGACTTCTCTCTTCAGCTCAAAAGGGAATTGGAAAGCAACACGGAGAAGAAATGAACTAAGGCGGAAAGGATTGTTTCTCTTTCTTAGGAATGGACCACAGAGTTTCTGTTCTGTTCAGATGTTTCCCTTTTGTAGTAGTCTTTGTTTCACTGGATGCAATGAGCCTTAGCTTTCACCTTTAAGCGTTTGTATTGATAAATTTGGATGCTCTAACTCGTTTGTAATGCAGTTCCCTATGAACATTGTTTGAGCTGAGAAAAGTTGAGATTAGTCTTATGTTTCCATGCTAGTGCTTTTGGTTTTTGCCGCAATGTGTGGTTTTTGTATAGACTTGTCCTTTCCTC